AACCTCTGTCTGCCTCAGTTTCCTCAACTGTAAAATGAGGATAATAATGGTACGTGCCTTCAAAGGGTTTCTGTGAAGATCATATGAAATCATATTTGTAAAAGTTCTTAGCACAGTGCCTGGAACAGAGTAGGAGCTTAATAAATGTTTTCTTCCTTCCTTTCTTCCTTCCTTCCTACACTACAGCCAACAAACTTTTGCCACAAGCACATATTAAAGCAGCAGTCTAAATTTGACCCTGGCCCTACCACCCTCAAGATAGCTCCCTATAAATTCAAGTCTGGAACCAGTCTACTCTACTGGTATGGTGGTGGATAGGACATATAAGCTGGAGCAAGGAGAGCCAGAGAGAGATAAGACCAAGGGTCCCAGGCCACTTGCCCCAGCTTAAGGAACCATACCATCCTCGAGCACCTATCACAGTGTCTGGCATACAGTAGATGCTTAATAAACACTTCTGGAATTAATGGATAAATGGTAGGATGAGCTTAAGAAGATACTAATTACCAGAAAAGCAGAGATCAAGGCTCTATTAGCAGACAGAACTTTGCTGTTGTTGTTCAGTCATGTGTCCAACTCTCCATGATGCCATTTGGGGTTTTCTTGGCAAAGATACTGAAGTGGTTTGCCATTTCCTTCCTGGTTCATTTTACAGATGAGGAAACTGAGGCAAACAGAATTAAGTGATGTTAAAATTAATTATCTGAAATAAAGAAGAAAGTGAGATACAAAGTTATGAAGCATCTATGATTTAATTTGCAAAGCTAGGTCATCTGACTCCTAAGAGGTCAGAGACAAGGAATGATTTACAGCTGATTTTTATAACAGAAGAGAGAAATTTAAAAAAAAAATTACACAAACTTGTTTTAAAGCATAACTCAACTGGACAAGGTAGTCATCTGACTATTTAGCTTCTCCCAGGCTACTTCACCCAAATTCATACTGTTGGCAACGTCTAGTTGTCAAAGTGAGATTACCCTCAGAAGTTCTTTCCCTACAGGTAATGCCTTTTGTAACCAGAAAGCTCACTGGGAAAGAAGAACTTGTGGTCAGTAGTTAGCGGTCACCCCCCCAACACCATATTCCAGCTGCCAACCTTGGAAATTCTATTACTCAAATTAGACTCTAGCTCAAGAAATAAGGGAGCTTATCCATTAAGACTAGAAAGAGGAACTTAACCTTTACCTAACCCCGCTTATTCCAGCTGCTAGAAAAGAGAACTTAGCCTTTAAGAAAAAAATCTGGTAATCGTATGATTATTTTATTCCTACAGAGATATTTGCCTTACTCTAAATTATCTACTACCAAATGAAAAAGTCTTGTCAATCTATCTGTTCAATAAATCTATGGGTAATCTAGATTTAAGAAACCATCTATGTTAGTCTGGCTTAGCTATTAGGGCTAGCCTTTCCTAAAGAAGGGAACTTAATCCTATAAGCAAACTAAAAATAAATCAAAATAATCAATACCAACTGATTTCCTTTTCAGTGACTTCCCCAGGGTCACACAGCTAATAAATGTCTAAGGCCAGATCTGAATTCAAGAAGATGAGTCTTCCTGTCCCAGTGTACAGAACTACAAGTCAACATAACCAAAGAACCTAATGCAAGATCCTAAGGGAATATTTGTCCTTTCTTGTCTATTAGGCATGACCTGGAGACATCTGAAGAAGATCTAGATCAAGACTTAGGTTCATAGCAATAGTTCAGCAACAAGAAACTCTGAAGAGGTAAGAGTTCAACAGCTTTAGGGCACTAAGCTTTACTCCTCTACCTGAAGGTAGCTGCCCTATTAAATTGTAGAGCAAAACAGGAGACGCATCTCCCTCACTGAACATGATGAGGTACACTGCCCTTGTAAGAGGCTGTAGACAGCAGGAATAAAATCTTGGCAAGAGGTATAGCACAGTGAAGAGGCTAAGTAAGGCCATGTCTGTGAGTTCCTAAGAATGATAATACAGACACTCTTTAAGGTACAGGCATACTTCATTTTATTGCACTTCACAGATACTGCATTTTTAACAAACTGAAGGTTTGCAGCAACACTGTGTCTATCAGCACGATTTTTCCAACAGCACATGCTCACAATGTGTCTCAGTGTCACATTTTGGTAATTCTCACAATATGTCAGTTTTTCATTATTATTATATCTGTTATGGTGATCTATGATCAGTGATCTTTGACGTTACTATTGTAATTATTTTGGGGCTCCATGAACTGTGCCCATAAAAGACTGTGAACTTAACAGATAAATGTTTTGTGTGTTCTGATTACTCTTTATCCTGCTGTTCCCCATCTCCCTCCCTCTCCTCAGGCCTCCCTATTCCCTGAGACACAACCATATTGAAATCAGGTCAATTAATAACCCCCTTCAACGGCCTCTACAGAGGTTGCTGCCATCCTTCATACCTGAAGAAGACCGTAACATCAAGGAGGAGATGTCATGACATGTAAATGAATTGGATTTAAGTGAGGCAGGGCTTTGCAAAGTCACCAGCCTCACTTTCTCTTCTGGAGTCATCTGCGTCCAGTGGCCAAATATAGATCAGGATGACTGGAGATGGACCAGGATGTGTTCAAGTGAAAGGAAAAGGCAAATCGATGTGGCAAACTTCAATGTTGTCTTATTTTAAGAAATTGCTACAACTACCCCAACCTTTAGCAACCATCACCTGATAAGTCAGCAGCCATCAACATCAAGGCCACCAGAAAATGATTATGACTCACTACAGGCTCAGATGATGGTTACCATTTTTTTACAACAACAATTTTTTAATTGTTATGTACATTGTTTTTAGACATAATACTATTGTACACTTAATGGACTACAATATAGCATAAATATAACTTTTATATGTACTGAGATACCAAAAGATTCATGTGACAGCTTATTGTGATATTTGGTTTATTGTGGTGGTCTGGAATCAAACCTGCAATATTTCTGAGTTATGCCTGTACAAATACCAACTGATGAATGCTCCAGATCCACATAAATAGCCAGCTCATGCTGGAAAAAGCTTCTCCCAAGCCATACAGAGAACAAAAAGCATTCTGAAGACACCATGTCCCCTTCTCACCATACCAGTAGCCCATGTAGCTGCACTAGGAACATATGATCTGGAAAGGACCTTAAGGACCATCTGGTTCAAACCTCACACATCACAGATGGGAGAAATGAGGCCCAAAGAGGTAAATCATTCACATAAGGTCACACAAGGTATAACAGAGTCAGGATGTGAACTGGGGTTCTCCAACTCCCAAACCCAATACTCTTCCCACTATAACTATATCATAGATCCCACAAAACTCTTCATTAACCCAGATTTACTAAGGAGTGTTTCTGCTAATCATAATTATGCAATTATGGTGTAAGCCCCCATTGAGGACATTCTCTATCAACAGACTAGTCAGGAAACAAAAAATAAACAAATAGAAAAGCATTTGATAGAGACGGAATAGACAAGAACCAAGAAAATCAATTCCCAGAACATAAAGAAATATAATCTCTGTAGCCTCTTCTATGATGAGGGGAGAAAGAGAATACCCTCTAGACAATTGATGCTCTGAGAGAATTTTGTCATAGCTAGGCTACCTCACAACTCTACCTCTAAACCACCTGCTGTGGCCCATCATTTCTTGGTCCATCTCTCACATCTCCCTTGGCATGGTCCAAGCGTTTCCATTGCCACTATTGATCCACTCAGCCTTGACAGCTATAGGCAGATAAATCTCCACCCTCTTTCACTGCCTTCCTCTTCCTGCTCCTCCTCCTCTTCCTCCTCCTCCCCACCCCCATCTAGGATTAGCTGCCGCTCCACCAAACACTTATGTGCTTGCTTGCTGCTCTTACCTTGTCTTCTGCTGCGGCTAAATCCTCCTTTGGCTAAAAATGCTGTCACTCTTTCTCCAGATTAGCCAAAGCCAACATACCCTGGAATCTAATCAACACCTCTTCAGCTCTCTTGTTTTATAAATAGGCTTCACCACAACTGGCTGACCCACAGAATGGTTACTGAATTAGCTATCAAGAATTTCTCAATCCCCATCCCTCAGATGGAAGTCTCTCAGCTCTCACTCTCAGCTAGGTTAAGATGAATAAATTTCATTCAACTTTCATTATTCCCTTGCCGACTAGAACCATGGAAATTACCTCAAAACTTTAGTAAGCTTCAAGAAAGCAGTTAGAGATACCAGAGAGGTGTAGACTCCACCTCCTACACGGTAAAGGTCTCCATCAACCTCTATCAGTGGTAACATCTGTCCTTCATTCCCACCACTAAGCAAAGTTCTCTATCTTATTTATACACCACGCAGTGTGTCTTGTACTCTATGCCATGATGGACACTATATAATCTATATACTGAACTGCCTTATTCCCTTCTTACTATGGGCTAAACGGCTTTCTCAAAGGTGGCATTGGCAAGGGATCAGGGAGGTATTTTTCCTAATATCCTATCATTAATCCATGATGGGGCCTGTTTTTGTTAGGAGCGCTGAAGTTCAACTACACTGAGGGTTATAATAAGCCTTTGTGGGATAGCCTAGGAGCCTGTTTGTAACATTGTTTCTAAAAATGTCTGGATTCAAAAAAACCTATCTATAAATACACTTTTTAGAACTCAACCCATTTGTACACCAGAATGGAGGCACTGAAACACCAGGTAATATTGGGTCCTACTGTTTTTATATCAATAAATCTTATTTCCTTGCATCATGTAAAATCCCAACATACTCATGTATGAATCCCTCCAAATGTACAGTGCCAGAAAATGGTTCAGCAAATCAGCTCCTGCCCCCCTCCAAAAAAAAGAATAATTGTCCCTGTACTTGTAACCTTACACTTTAGTAGTTTTCTAACTGCTACAGTAGACACTGGGTCCATACTTTATCAGTTAGTGTCAATATTGTCCAGTGTCTTTACCCTGAGTTTAAAGTGATTTTCATTTGTACATTTGTGATAATCACACATTTCCTTCTTTTGATCCTGTTTTATTCATTCAGCATCACTTCATACAGGTTTCCCATATTTCTTTGAAGTCTTCATCTTCAGCATTCCTTGTGGCTATCACAGAGTATCATGCTGAGAATCAGTGAAATATAATACCGAGGCAAAACCAAAGAAGTTAAAACATTTAAAGAGAAAGAATTTCTAGAATTTCTTGCCTATATTCATGGAAGCTTGTTTCTAATTAACTACGTTCCCATCTGTCTGATCTGTGTATTATAGGGGTTAAAGCTGGCTAAAGTATAAAACTTGAATTGACTGAGTTAAAAAAGTCAAATCACCCACATTATCTGCTTGTAGACACACTCCTCTGTGACGGGATCTGTTATAGTCTGTCAGAAATAATGTGTTTTTGGAGCCAAGATGGTGGAGTAAAAGCAGTGACTTGCTTGAGCTCTCCCCCAAACCCCACCAAATACCTGTAAAAAATGGCTCTAAACAAATTCTAAAGCAGCAGAACCCACAAAAAGAGAGAGTGAAACAAATTTCCAGCCCAAGAGAACCTGGATGGTTGATGAGAAAGGTATATCGCGCCAGGCTGGGAGAGGAACACAGTTCAGCGTGGGTTCATAGGCCTCAGCAATCCTGGAGCAGGCCTGAATCATGGGCAGCTGCGGTGGTTTCCAGATCTCTCAACCCATGAACACCAAAGACAACTTAGAAGGTCAGTAGGAAAAGTCTGTGTCTGCAGTGAGAGACTCCAGCCCTGGAGGGCAGTCCTGGGGTGGTAGCTGCCTGCAGAGCTTCTGGTCCACAGGCTGAGGGGAAATCGAGAGGCTGATCAGAGGGGGATTGCAGGGATCTTTTTGTTGGTGCAGGATTCTCTTGCTTTGCCCGTGCTTGGATCTGGGTCACAGTTCTGGGTGGCAGTCCTGGGGCAAGGAGGAGCGCTGGCATGGTAGAGCTTGTAGTGGCTATGGAGAGAGAATCTTCCTCACAGTTCCAAGACAGAAAAGAGTGCTTGTGGTCACTCATAGACTAGAGCACAGGCCAAGAAAGAAGTAAACACCTCACCCTTGATCATAGCACCTTGAAAGAACTGAAAATTTACAGGTCCCTAGAAGTATCTCTAAAAACAGCTGCACAAAACCCCTGAAGCTTGGGATAGTACATTCTCCACACTGGAAGCAGAGTTTATACCTCAAGTAATTGGCTGGGATCATGAGCAAGCAGCACAAAAAAAGTCAGACCATAGAATCTTACTTTGGTGACAAAGAAGTTCAAAACATACAACCAGAAGAAGACAATAAAGTCAAAGCTCCTACATCCAAAGCCTCCAAGAAAAATATGAATTGGTCCCAGGCCATTGAAGAGCTCAAAAAGAATTTTGAGAAGCAAGTAAGAGAAGTAGAGGGAAAACTGAGAGTGATGCAAGAAAATCATGAAAAACAAGTTAACAGCTTGCTAAAGGAGACCCAAAAAAATACTGAAGAAAATAACACCTTAAAAAATAGCCTAACCGAAATGGCAAAAGAGGTCCAAAAAGTCAATGAGGAGAAGAGCCTTAAAAAGCAAAATTGGCCAAATGGAAAAGGAAGTCCAAAATATTACTGAAGAAAATACTTCCTTAAAAATTAGAATGGAGCAATTGGAAGCTAGTGAGAAATCAAGACACTGTAAAACAAATTCAAAATAATGAAAAAAATCAAAAACGATGTGAAATATCTCATTGGAAAAACAACTGACTGGAAAATAGATCCAGGAGAGAGAATTTTAAAATTATTGGACTATCTGAAAGCCATGATCAAAAAAAGAGCCTAGACATCATCTTTCAAGAAATTATCGAGGAAAACTGCCCTGATATTTTAGAACCAGAGGGCAAAATAGAAATGGAAAGAATCTACCAATCACCTCCTGAAGGAGATCCCCAAAGGAAAACTCCTAGGAATACTGTAGCCAAATTCCAGAGTTCCCAGGTCAAGGAGAAAATATTGCAAGCAGCCAGAAAGAAACAATTTAAGTATTGTGGAAACACAATCAGGATAACACAAGATTTAGCAGCTTCTACATTAAGGGACTGCAGGGCTTGGAATATAATATTCCAGAGGGTAAAGGAAATAGGATTACAACCAAGAATCCCCTACCCAGCAAAACTGAGCATAATCTTTCAGGGAAAAAAATTGACATTCAGTGAAACAGAGGACTTTCAAGCATTCTTGATGAAAAGACCAAAGCTAAATAGAAAATTTGACTTTCAAATACAAGACTCAAGAGAAGCATGAAGAGATAAACAGGAAAGAGAAATCATAAGAGACTTATTAAGGTTGAACTGTTTACATTCTGCATGGAAATATAATATTTGTAACTCACAAGTCCTTTGTCAGTATTAGAGCAGTTGGAGGGGAAAAAATTATATGGATAGATAGATAGATAGATAGATAGATAGATAGATAGATAGATAGATAGATAGATGGCACAGGGTGAGTTGAAGATGAAGGGGTGATATCTGGAGAATAAAGTTAGGGGGTGAGAGAGGATTATATGGAGAGAAGGAGAAAGGGAGAGGTAGAATGGGGTAAATTATCTCACATAAAACAGACAAGAAAAGGTTTTTACAGTGTAGGGGAAATGGGGGAAGGTGAAAGGGAATGAGTGAATCTTATTCTCATTGCATTTGGCTTAAAAAAAGAATAACATACACACTCAATTGGGTATGAAAATCTATCTTATCCTACAGGAAAATGAGGGGGTGGAAGGGGACAAGAGAACAGGAAGATGATAGAGGAGAGGGCAGATTGGGAGAGGGAGTAATCAGAAGCAAACACTTCTAAGGAGGGACAGGGTCAAAAGAAAGAACAGAATAAATGGGGGCAGGATAGGATGAAGGGAAATTACTTAGTTTTTCACAACATGACTACTATGGAAGAGTTTTGCATGACTACACATGTATAATCTGTTTTGAGTTGCTTGCCTTCTCAATGAGGGTGGGTGGGAAGGGAGGGAGGGAGAAAATTTGAAACCCAAAATTTTAAAAACAAAAGTTTAAAAAAACTTGTTTTCACATGCAACTGGGAAATAAGGTATACAGGAAATGGGGAATAGAAATCTATCTTGCCCTACAGGAAAATTGAAAGAGACAGGGATAAGAAAAGGGAGGGAGAGCTAGAAGGGAGGGCAGATTAGGAGAAGGGGTACTCAGAATGCATGCCATCTTGGGATGGGGGGAGGGACAAGATGGGGAGAAAATTTGGAACTCATAAATCTTGTGGAAATGAATGTTGAAAACTAAAAATAAATAAATTAATTTATAATTTGAAAAAAGAGAGTAGGGGTTGTTTCATTTTTTGTATTTGTATTTTGTAGGCTCAGAGCTTAGCCCTAGAGTATATACTTAATACGTGTAAATACATATTGATTGATTAAAAATAATTTTTTCCCAAAAAAAAAAAGAAATAATATGTTTTACAAGAACTGGTGGAGGTTCTGAGGGGCTTCACCAAAAAATCCTAATCTTGGTTATGGAGAGAAATAATTCTTTTTTTTTCTTTTTTAGGCAATTGGGGTTAAGTGACTTGCCCAGAGTCACACAGCTAGTAAGTATCAAGTGCTTGGTCTGAGGCCGGATTTGAACTCAGGTCCTCCTGACTTCGGGGCCGGTTCTCTATCCGCTGCGCCACCTAGCTGCCCCTTGGAGAATAATAATTCAAGGGGACTTGGGTGGGTGTGTCAGTCAATCAAACCACATGTATTTATTAAGCACTACGTGTTTGGCACTTTTCTATGTGCTGGCACAAAGACAAAATTGCAATAGCCCTTCCCTTCAGAGAGCTTACATTCTGTCAGGGAAGACAACACGGACATATATAATTACATACAAAATAAATATAAGATAATTTGTAGTAGGAGAACACTAGAAGCTGAAGGAACCGTGTAGGCAATTCATACAGAAAGTGGAACTTGAACAGAGTTTTGAAGGAAATGAGATTTTAAAAGGAAGAGGTGAAGGAGTGAATTCTGGGCAGGGAGGACAATCTGTACAAAGACATAGAGATAAGAGAGAGTGTCACAAGGTAAGAACAGCAAGAAAGACAGTTTCATTGGACCATAAAGAACAGGAAGCAAAGTAATGCCTGATGAGACTAGAAGGTAGGCAAAGCAAGGCAACTAAGCATTTATTAAGGGCTTACTATGTGTTGGGCATTCTGCTAAGTGCTGGACGTACAAATAAAAGCAAAAAGGAACACAGTCCCTGGCCTTAACAAGCTTGCATTCTAATGAAGGAAGACAGCACCCAAAAGGGAGTTGAAAATTTAGGGGTGGGGAAGAAGATAAGATGCCCCAAGAGGCCCCAGCAGTAGAAGTTCTGAGAGTCAGAAGCAGAGCTGGGAGGTGAGTGAAGCATGGCCAGCCTGTGTCCATCCCAACATGGAGGTCTCAGGAGGAACTCACCAATAGAAAAAGGGAGCAGAAGAGGTGGAGGGTGTGAGAAGGCCCCAGGCACTGAGCATACTTACTCAGGGGTGAGAGAGCAACTAAGACATGGTGGTGAAGCCCTAGCAGTCAGAGGTAAAGCCAGGAGGGGAAAGGTAGTTTGGAGTTAGATTGTGAAGGGTTTTAAATACCAAACAGGAGTTTTGTTTGACCCCAGAGGCAATAAGGAGCCAATGGAGCTTATAGAGCAGGGGAATGACATGGTTTACCAATGGTTTCTTGATTTCAAAAGTAGTCTCTACTACAGGTTGCATTGTTTATCACCTTCTCTTCCTTCATATACCCTTCTCTCTGGGTTTTCATAAAATGACTCTGCCCTGAGATTTAGAAAAACCATACTGTCAAAGGACAGATTAGAAGGAGAAAAACTTGAAACAGATCAATTAAGAGGCTACTGTAATAGTCCAGGTGAGAAGTGAAGCAAGCCTGAATTACGGTGGTGGCTTTGTGAATGGAGAGAAAAGGAACAGATGAAAGATACAATTCAGATATAAAAACAAGAAAACTTAATACTTGATTCATACTGGGATGAAGAAGAATAGGGAGTTAAGGGTGACCTTTTAGTTAAAAACCAGGATAGACCAGAAAGATAGTGGTACCCTCCACATAGGGAAGATTGGGGAAAGAATTGATTGGGAGAAAAAACAATGAGTTTCATTTTTAACATGGTAAATTTGTGATGTGTGTGGGACATCTAGTTTAAAGTGTCCAAGAGACAGTTAGTGATGTGGCAGTGGAACCCAAGAGAAAGAATAATTTTGAATAATAAACCTAGAAGTCACTTGCACAGAGATAAAAATTAAACCCATAGGAGCTGATGAGATACAAATGAGAGAGTACAGAGAAGAGAGTCAGGATAGATAGAGCCTTGGGGTACACCTACAGTTGGGGAGTGGGATATTCCTTAGCAAAGGAGACTGAAGAAGAGTCAGATAGGTTCAGCATACAATAGGCAAGTGTCACAAAGGCCTAGGGAATATCAACTCCCTCTCCTCT